GTTACCATATTTATTATGATGCTGACGGCTCGCCTATACTTCTTCTGCCAAGGAATTTCACATATTTATCCAGTGTGATAAGCCAGCACTGCGAGTCTAAACAGTTATCATGAGGACTCTTTAAAAAAAAGATAGTGTGTTAAACTGTTTTTAATTCTATTTGATCTATTTGGTAGTAACTTTTGTATTTTTAACGACATTTTAATGAACTTTTTTTAACTATTCAAACCTTGTGAAAATGAAATTGATCGTTTGAATTAATTTTTTTTTATAAAAACACCGAATTGAAAAAATCACAATATAATATAATCAGTATTAAGATCCATAAGCTGATATTCAGCAATGTGATAAGCTATAATACATAATTTCTGCCTAAGGCAATGAACAAAGAATGATAATATATATATTTTTATAAACTAATAAAATAGACGTAATAATGTTGTGATAGATGAACTAAATTGGAATCATTGTCATACATTTTTTCATTATTTATCAAACAATGGTGAAAAATCGAGAGAATTTAAATAGAATTCAAAAATTTAAAAGAAAAAATATCTGACAAAGAAATACAATGAATTAAAGGAATAAATTGCCCTAAATTTGTGTTCTTTCGTATTTAAATAAAGAAAAAAACTCGGAAAACTTCAGTATACTGAAGATATTTCGAATGTTGATCTGGTTCTTACTGTTATTTATCAATTTTGTCATCGGCCAAAGAAGTAAGATTCTGTTGTTAATGCGACCACCCACATTGTCTTCTAGGCGACCGTCAAAAGTGAATAATTATTTTCTGATCCCTTTGCGCAATGACCATTTCAACTGAAATTGACTGGTTAAAAGCTTTGATTGCTTTTTTTCATGTTCACCATTGGAAACAATGCGAATAAGGATAGCAGCAAGCAAATTGTGAAATTTATTTATTCTAACTATGTTTGAGTGAATAATTTGACTTATTTTTTTCGTCATTTGGCTTAGGCTTAGATTATTCAACTGTCATTATTGCTCATATTTTTTAAATTTCAGTTTGCAAAACTGATGAACAATGTCCCATATTCCATTATTGCAACAATGGAACTTGCGAAATGGACCATAGGCGTAAATTTTTCAAGATTTTTTTACTTAAAAATGGAAATGCATGATTCGCAGTTATTTTATAGAACTATTGAAAATTTAGTATATCATATCTTATTATATCATATCATATTTGTTCTTCGCCTGATAAATACGCTAACATATATAATCCAAAAAATAGGTCTAAAAAGTTTTTCTTTACTTTAACGTACGCTAATGAATTTTTACAGAATGCTCTGGTGGATGTGCAGATGGCCAAGTTTGTATTAGCAGCACATGCACACCATTAGTTATTTCAGGTTTTTCTTAATATTTTCTAGCTTGTTCTGTCGCGTTTTTGCTAAAAGAATTATTTAATAGAAAATCATAAAAATTCTTGAAGAAATATCAACTATGTAAAAACAATTGAATGAAAAAAACTCTCATAATTCATTATTCCCTATTAAAATTACTTACTAAACCTCAATTCAAAACATAATTCATTAAAACTATTTAAATAAAATTTATAATGAAAATAATGTGAAATAATTGTGTTGTAATATAAATGCATTAATATTAATTTGGCGAAGAATTACGTAAACGTTTGGAAAATTTAATATGCCTTAATATGTTGTAATCTTCATTCGCATTGAGAGACTTGAAAAATATTGATGATAAGCATCAGGAGTGGTCATTAGTGGTAACTGATAAATGAAAAACTTAAAAGCTAATTGCTGATCACTGATACTGTTTAGTGATTGCTGATAAGTTATGAAGCTTTAACAAAAAAATGTGATTGCAAATTAAAAATTTGGCTATTAGGCGATGAAATGAATTGATAAAATATTTTTTCGGTATCGACTATGTGTATTTGTTTAGAATATTTTATCAGCAGCGAGATAAATTTGCATAAAACGACTTTAATTTATCACAGATTGTTTCAAAATTTATAGAATGTTGAGGATAAATTTTCCTTTTTTTGTTATTAATTTTCACGTCTTAAATCACTGGCTTAGCTTGAAATTATTTATTCTTTATCTGCTTTACAAACAAATTCCAGAAAAATTTATAGGACGTTGTACTTCCGATACCGAATGTAAAATGTTCGAATACTGCCTAAATAATAATTGTGTGCCTGATTTTCGAAGTAATTTCTCTAAATTTTTTGATATTTTCCCTTTATTTTCAAATAACGATAAAATAATAGGATAAGATAAAATAATGATAAAAGCTAAATTGTTTATTTATCGTAATTAAATGAAATATCACCAGAATAGCGATAATTTTAAATTTCGCCATTTTTTTTCTTTTTTTGCACACAAGAATTAAGCGAAAAATCAACGGTTTCAGATTGTCCACAGGGATGTGCAAAGGGTGAAATTTGTAATGCGGGTACTTGCTCAGTAATTCCCTCTAAAAGTGTGTTTGTAATTTTAAGCTATTCGCTAATTTCTAATTTTATTTTTATATTACAAATTATTCTCAAAATTTTTTAATACAATTCAGTGCTAATTTTTTTTTCTGAATAAATTCTAAGTGAATCGCTATGTGATGCAAATAGTCTATTTTATTTTATGAGAAATACTTACATCGCGTATGGGCAGAAAAGTTGCCATTTCACTATTTAAAAAGTTCATTTCAGGTTGCAAGAGAGATGTTGAATGTAATGTTTTCGAATATTGTGAAGCCGGAATCTGTCAAAAGGATAATCAAAGTCATTTTTAATATAAACGTTGCATGATTAAATTTAGCAAATTGAGAAAAGAAAGAAAATAATAGCTCTTTGTGGATATTGACCAATTTCAAATGTTTCAGTATGTCAAGGGAATGTCTGTCCAGAAAATCATATTTGCAACAATGGAACTTGTATACCATTTCTAATTTCAACGACATTAGCGACAAGTTTGATATTTTAAGGCTTAATTGATTTGTTTTAGACGGTCATTTTAAGCTTTTATAAAAATAAAGAATTTTATATATATATATATATATATATACATAACATTACTGATGAAGTGCCACTGGCGAAGATCCTATGGCACTTCATCATCCAGGCAGAAAAATAATTACTGGTCCAGTCAACCAAATATTGGTAATAAATAAAAAATCAGCCCTAACGACAGATATAGCAATACCAAGTGAGAAAAATGAAGAATGTAAAGAAGGAATATGAGAGAAATACCAGGGGCTGAAAGAGGAATTAGAGATGATAAGGAAAGTGAAGGCCGAAGTAGTTCTAGTTACAGCACTGGGAATTGTGCCTCCTAAACTAGAAAAGTGGCTTCAGCAAATTCCAGTAAGAACATCAGAGGTTCAAGAATGTTCAGAAGAGCATATTGCTAGAAACAGCTAAAATACTGGGTAGAATCCTCGATCTTTCAGGCTGGAGACCCCCCTAGAAGACCCGGGGATGACCCTTACCAGGCATAAAGGATAAGGAAGAGTTTTATATGTGACATTGCTGATGAAATATCACAAATATTACATAATTAATAATAAACATTGAGGGCTAGTAAACAACCTTACCCTTCCTTCAAACATATCCTTGCTTGATGATAGACGTGGATTTTTAGCAACCACCTGCCCATTGTATTTTAAAGAGTTTGCTCCTTCTAAAAAGAGATAATGAAGGAAAAGATATAGAACTTTCGATTCAAAGAAGGAAAAACAAAATTTTTCTTTCTATGAAGGGTTTCAAGAAAATTTATGAAGGATGGGGATTTAAAGTCATATGGTGAGGTTCTTGTAGCCTCAAGGAAAATAATAGGGTTCCGAAGAAAATATATGGCAGGTTCCAAAAATTCTATTAGGGGCAAAACAGAGTGCACAACGTTATATTTATCCGAGGTCCACATAATCAACTGCTTAAGGAGGATTAAGCGTAGACATATTGTAGTAGGAAGGATTTCTGAGTCTATTAATTATTTATTCAGTAAGGATTGGAGAAAATTTTGGCAGATTTTAATCTATAGGTGATTCTTCGCCGGTAACACTTTCGCAGCAAATAACATAGATGCTCATGCAATTGTCTCACGCTAAATTTCTTTGCATTCTGTCAGATGCTCCAATCCTTCGACAATTTTTTATTATTTATCATTATTATTTATTACAACTTATTATTATGTATAAATATAAAAATAATATTTAGGCACAAGCAATGGTTGTCCTCCCAACTGGCAAAGGTTTAAAAAAAAATGTCACTATCACGTAAGTTCCAATCCAACTAAAGTCTCCAATATTTATCCATTAATTCTTTTTTTTTTACTATAATGTATGATTTCTGGTTTTTGTTAGCTTAACTGATTAGTAAGATAAGACCATTCACAATCCTTATACATTCTGTGGTAGGACGTATAAGTGAATATCAAACGGATCATCCAAAACGAAACCAAACTTCATTTTAAAAGCTTAATTTTTGGTTTTAATTTTAATATGGCCGAAACCACTCCTCCTCTAAATGCGATCAAAATAATTTCATATAGAATTTTTAATCTCTAAATTATATATATCATAGGAAAAAACTTTATTTATAAAATAAAAGAACTGAGAACCAAATGAACCAATATTTCAGTACTCAGATTCACTCAGCTATGATGACGGTGTCCTTGCATGCGCAAGTTTGGATGGATTTCCTGTTTCGTTTGAGTCATTTCATGAGATATTTCATGTGAAAAGTATAATATTTTCAAATAATATATTTCTCGATAATTTAATAAACATATAAGTCAAAAATTACTTTTACTATGCGTTGTCGACCAAAATTTTATTGTGGTCATAATTTTACTCGGAGATTATAAGACAAATGGTAACATTATTCCTATGCGCTTGCAGTTTTTTTTCAGAAATTCAGTGTTCCAAAAATCTGCAAATTTTTCTTCCCACTTTATCATTTCCCTAATCGCTGATGATTTTTTTCGACATTCTGCGCTTATTATCCAATGTTTTCAGATATGGTTGGAAATGCTACACATTGGATAGGCCTGAGGAAAGTGAAAGGCAATTTCCAATGGTTCAATGGAAAACGCTACAGATTCGCCTACTGGAAACCAGGTGAACCCAATGAAGGTGATGCTGCATCTTGCGTTGCTACAAATGCAATAACTGGCCAGTGGTTAGACTCAACCTGCAACAAAGTTACAGACAAACGCGGTATTGTATGTGAAAAACATGCGCTAGTATAAGTACAATCTCGATTAAAAATTATTTGAAAATGTAAGCAAAAGGTCTTCATTCCTCATCTCCGATAACCTTTTTCCAGCAGCATAAAAAATGCCCTAAACGACAGAATGATGTTCATAACTACTTTTATCACGTCCGCAAAATCTTAAATTTCATCAGTTAATATTGGTCGGCCTTAATTCTTTTAGCTTTCCATACATGCTTTATTGACAAAATGAATTATCGAACAAACTTTCATTACTAACAACCATGAATTTATTGTTGATTGAAATAAAATATATAGCCCTTTCTTACAATGTAGTGTTCATATTTGCGACCTTTCTTCCGACAAAAGGGAAGATTTTGAGTGACAGTTGAAATGTGCAGCAAAATCAAGATTAAGCTCGCAATTTTTTCCTATATTTTGCCAACGACTGCCAAAGTAATCAACATGAACTGGAGCTACTATGCCTGCGGCTTCCACTATGCCTTCGATGTCGTCTTTCTCGTTCTTTCAGATACCTGCAGAATATTTTTGTTACAATTAATCTTTAATTTCGCTCGCAAAAAAATTATGAAATTCGACTGAAGCGAGAAAAAACTTGCTCTTAAGATTTTCTCAAATTCTCTTCTTCTTTATCAAGTTGCTAATGTCAAACTGGGGCAACATGAGATAGTACTAAAGAACCATTGTATCCTTTTATTTAAATTAAAAGCTTCTGCCTGCTGCGAATCCTCTTACCCTCTACCATCCTTACGATCTCGTCGGTTTGCAATAACCTATCAAGGAGCATTTTAAACCTTTTTCTACCATCTTAACCCAGCTTGGTACCATTCATTTTGTTCCTTTAACGTCTCTTTAAAGTTTTCAGTATATTTTATTTCACCCAAAATTATAAAAAAAAAGTTACAAACTTATAAAGCGTAAAATCAAAAGTGATGTGGGGTTTAGAAAGAAAACGTTGTGAAGCACTGCAGCAATGTTTAAAATAGTTGAAGGAATGCAACACATTTTGAGGATATATCAAGAAATGGACAAGGGTTTATGACAATTCTATTCGTTAGGTCTTCTAATTAATTATAAAAGAAAGAATTATAAAAGAATACATAAATTTAATAGGGGCAAAGGGTAACCATATTCACCACTATCATCAAAAACAATTACCGTCTTTTTCTTTCAAGTGATTCTTCGTGTAGACGTTCGTCTCTCCTCTGAAATATTTTGAAATTTCGAAGATTTTATATCATTCCATTTAGCATGTTTTTTATTAAAATGTTAAAAAAATTCCAAATTTAGAAGTTCCAGCAATTTATAAAAAATATAACCTAAAAAGAAAAAAGAAAAATAACTAAGCGATACAGAAAAGTGCCGAATTTCTAGATTTAGCTACGGGTAAATTCATAACCATATTTACGAATACAAGTTACTGAAGCTCACATCTTTTTTATCTTGAATTTTATTTTAAAAGTAAAAAAATCTTACGCGTCTTTCTCGGAACTGTTCTTCACGTTTCTGTCGTTCTTCTTCTTTAAGTTCTTCGGCGGTTTTTTTCAAAGCTCGTTGCATCTGCACTTTCAATCGATGGGCGAGAATTGCCTTCTGAAAAAAGATTTGCTCATTTAAATAAATGCTGTACCGTTTTCATCACCCTTTTTGAATTCTCACAATTCCTTAAAGGCTATAAATAATAAGAGATTAAATTTTCCAGAAATTTTCCAGATTTTTCGTAAAGCATTTCTTTTTTTTTTATTTTGCAAATTTCGATAGATGAACCTACCCTTTCAGATTCATCTTCTGAAGAATCATTCGCATTACTTCCATGACGCTGTCTGAAAATCTAGTCATTTCATTTCGAAATACATTTAAAAAGAGAAAAAGGAAATGTTCGAAAAAAAACAGGGAATATGATTTGGAGCAACAAATTTCGCTTATCGGATTTTTTATTGAAGCAAGGATACAAAAAATTCAATAAAACAGTTTTTTTTTACTAATCAGCTTAATAAAAATGCTACAAATGTAGTATTTTAATTCTAACCGATGTAATTTAGCTGTACGCCTTATGCGGCGCCGTCGATTTTCGACTTCTATTCTCTCCTTTTCTGATTCGCTCATACTCGATCGTATTTCCAATGGTGATGTATCACCGTTACCACGACTCGGTGATAAAACAGATCCTGTACCCTGAATATTTATTTTAATAATCAAAAAATATATATTGGCATTACTCGCTTATAAGATGAAGTGAACAGATACCTCAGTGTTAACCAAATAAAATATTCGTTAACCGACTGGTAATAAAAAAATTATAAATAAGAATGGATTTATTGAAAACATGCCTTTTTGCCCTCAGAAGATGAGGATCTTGTGCTGGTTGAATCCCGCATTCTCCGCCTTTTGACATTAGCTTCTTTTTCTCGCCTATAATAATTTAAAAGATCGTGTGGTTTTTCATCAGTGATTTTATAAATGAGTTTCTAATATTTATTAATAATGTATGATACCTTCAAAAGCAAAAATCTTGGAACAAAAATGACTGAAGAGAAAAGCGATCTAAAACTTTCTTCTTTTCCATAGAATGAAAAAGTTTTTCACAAAAAGAGATGGAGTTCTCAAATACAAAATTATTATCACAATGGAAAACAACGGAAAACAAGTTCTTGCTATCAAACTGCAACAGAAGAAGAATTTTTATTTCTCCATCCCGAACATCCTAAACAATTCTAAAAACAAAGAGGAACGGATGGAATATTCACTAAGCTAATAGATGAAAGCTAATAGATGAAAGTGAAAGCCGAAAATATCTTGAATGCACAAATACATCTTCTTATCAAAAACTGCATAACGATTTCAATATGTAAAAATTCAAAAGAGCAAGTTTTCGATTCAAATACATCTTCATTTGAAATTGTATCTTCAAGTTTTTGCTTGAAGGCCATTATTAAACTGGTCAAATTTCGAAAAGAAACAAGTGGACCATAAAAGCCAGATTAATTTTTGTCGAAGGACTTCATAAATTTTTCAAGCGTATTTATTCCCGTCGAAGAATTACAAAAAAAATATATGAATATAAATATATAAAAAGAAATATACAATATAAAAATAAAATTTAGAGAGAAAAAGTTTTGGCCAACCTGTCACAATCTTTACTTTGAGCATTCTTCAAGCGATCAGTACTCCTTGATCTTGTACGATCAGATGGCACTCTTTCCTTTCCTTTTTCTCGACTTTTTCTCATTTCTCGATCTCTACTTCTACTACGCGAATGATTCCGATGTGATGAACGCTCAAAACTTCTTCGCCTGAAAGGAGATGGACTACGTGCACGATAACGACCGCCTTTTCGACTGGAAGATAAACTGCCAAAATCTTCCGGGCTTGGAGACTTTCTTGTTTTCAATTCACTAAAAAAAACTCGAAATATAAGAACATACACTTGCTTCAAACAAAAAAATGGAGATTATAATATAAATAAATGCTAATATCTCATACCTACCAACAGTTCGAGAGGCCTCCATGGTAATATTATTCCTTTATTATGCACATTAATAGTATTATTGTTGTTATTTTAACATTTATCTTTATGTTGATGTTTTACAGGTTGATTCCAATAATATGTATCGATTGTCATGAAATATGATCGTTATGTATGAAATAACGGATGAATTATTGTATTACAAGAGTTTTCTCAGTTTTTCAGTGTCTAGATATTTTTATTGTTATGCTTGTTGGCTAACGTGTATATATCGCTCTTGCCGCCATGATCTCTTCCTTTTCATTCTTTGCAAAAGCAAATACTTTAATTTCATGAAAAATTTTGAAGACCAAATTTGACAAGCAAAGACGTGATTTTCGAACTGTAATATACTTCACGAGTTTAAATTAGCAAATGAAATGACAGAAGCAACTCGCAATACACAAGTAACTTTTGGTGATGACGCATCTAAAGAACAACACGAGGAAACCGCATGGTTTAATATAGGATATACGGTTCTTAAAGATGCTTCACAACTGTCAAATTTTATAGACGAATTCCTGAAAGAATCGTTAAGTTGAATCGAGCGATAATGAAGATTTAGAATACCTTATGCCTCATATAATACCATGCTGATTACCTACATGGAACAGGGAAGAGATTGAAAATGGATAACCTAAAGAATTGACTGAGTATCAGGCAAAAAATATGTTTGAAGATTTATTGTTTGCTAATATGACTGGTACGACTCAAAAATGAGTCTTTTCTGGAAAAAATTTTTGTCTGAGATGGTTCTATGGTTCAAGATCGGCGGAATAGCTGGAAAGGATGAACTCGCTCGAACTTCCAAGAAGACTATGCTAAGCATGCTGCAAGACTGATCCACTATAGCTTCTTGAAATCTGATGTAACGATTATAATAAATAATAATAAAGAAATAGTGAACGAAAAACTGAGAACAAATCATTCAACATTCAACACTGTTTATTCTCAACGAAAAGGCCAAACCACATGTCGCAATAACCACTTCAGAAAATTTTGTCGAGCTGAATTTCGAAATTCTCTTCCATTCACGACAAATCTTTCGTCAACAGATTTCCACTGCTCTCGACAATTTTGTCAGGAAAAAACATTTTCGCAGAAGGGAATTATGAAACCATCTTCCAGCAGTTCATTGTTTTAAAAATTAGGATTTTTATGAAATAGAACAAATGCATTGGTTTCTCTTTAGTGAAAGTATATTGACTGTAATGGCGCTTAAAAAATGATTTTCAATAAATTTATGATTTTGCAAAATAAAACGCAAAACGACAAGAATTTTTTGGGCGATTCAATGAATTTTATATTGAAAAATTGAAAAAAAAAGATGAGAATTTGTTTATTAAGCTTATATCATTCGATCCCTTTCAATTTTTGTTGATAAATAATGATAAAATGATGAATGATTGAAATCTACACTAATAACTTTGAAAATCTTAAATAATCTTAATTTAATTAAATAATCTTACCTGATAACCTTAACTTAGATAGATATAACAATTATACTCAAAATTTATACTCTGAAATTTCAAATTACTTAGTCATAACTTTTAAAATAAAATAAACTCACAGCTTTTCTCATTAATATACAAAATATTTGCCCTCAATTGGAATATAGAAAATTGGAATATCGCTTACTTCTCACTCGTATATAAATAATTATTTTCTTATAACTGTATAACATTTTGCGTCGATCCCAATATGTAAAAACTCAAAGTGCAAGTTTTTGATTCATTAGAAATTAGTAATATTAAGTAAGAGTTGATTTAGAAAGAGTTGAAATTTATATTATTTGTTTTAGTTGATCTATACTGAATTATATTGATCTATACGAAATTCTATAACTCTCTCTTAACATCCCAATAATATTGGACGATCGATATCACCTGGCATAAATCATGAAGCTATTTTGTTCCGTATAATAGATTATTCGCATTTATTTATTTTTATTTTTATCTTTTTATTAATTCATTGCATTAATATTCTTAGCATTGAGCGCAAGGATAAATACTCTGCTTGGTTTTCCTAACAAAAAATGAGTAAAAATTAATAAGTAAAACTGATAAATTTTCATTCAAATTTACGATGTCCCCCAGGGTCGAGGTAAAATTTTCTGAACGATTGCTCATCCAAAAAAACACCATTTAATATAATGTGAAATTCGAAAACGAACAAAATGCGACGAAATTCTGCAGAAGGCAGAGCAGGACCATGAACCGCAGCAGTACTTCCCTCATCATCAAAATCTTCATCTTGCGCGCAACCACGGTTGGATAATACTTCACCACCAAAAGACGTTATGAATTCCGTAGTTTCTTCTTCATCTTGTGATGATGATGATGTTGATCTCAAAAAAATTATTTTACAAACGAACTCTTTTCTATAAATTTTCAATAAGGGAACCCCACCACTATGCGTACAGAAATAAGCTATACTTAACTGTATTCAACCAATGTTTGAAATAAACCACAACTATAACGGACCAATAAATTGAGCAGAATATAACTAGCTTACGTTTCTAGAAATTCTTTTTTGCTTTGAGTTACAAAAGAAAGAAGGGTCGTAGTTGCTTCCTCATTCAAGCATCCTTTCCCTACAATTAACGCACGTTTCTTTTTTAACAGCGCTCGTTCTGCTTTTGCTTGGCGACCCTAAATTTTTTAAAATTTAAGCATTTTTTTCATGAAATAAATTCAATATTCATAAATTAAATTAAAATTAAAAAATTCAAAAAAAAAGTTTTTTAGGAATTTTTTCCCGAGAAACATATACTCCTTTCCATGGAAAAATGAGAACGAATATCATGGCATTTAAGATTTACGATCTCGGTACTATAAAAAAAGATAAACGATACGGAATTTATACGAATAAGAACTCGTATTGAAGAAATAGCGGAATTTTTGAAATGAATGAGCAATAAATAATGCTTTTTTTGGAATAGCATGGCAAGATCTTGAATCATTGAAAAAAAGGATGAGATCACTGAACTGGATGGAGAAAATTAAGAAAACTGTCATGTGTTAGATAGAGAAAGATTCTTTATAACACATAGAGAAAATTGCTTTAAATAATGCCAAACTGAATTAAGATGATACTAATCAATCCAAAAATTGCGATGACATCGATCTCAATCAGGAGGCCAGATAAAGATGTTCCTTTACATAGATCTTCATAGGAGGTTTCTGAGTGGTTCAAAATGTGATAATAATCAATATTGAATTACAGACAGCGAGGGCGAGCTTGGCCTTCTCAATTTCCTTCAGTTGATGCGTTTCATCCTGTTCTCGGCGATCCATTTTTAAAAGCCTCGAAAATGCACCAAGAGCAATACCATATTTCATACCAAACTTATTTAGACTTCGAATTCTTTCTGGGTCCAGCGCATCAACATCAAATTTTAAATCTGTAAAAACATCTGAAATAGTATAATGAAACACAATTATTTATTGGATTTGAAAAATACCTGGAAAAAATATTAAAAAATTGAGGGAATGCATTAAACAGCGACTTCAGAGACCTTCGTTAAAATTAACAGCCAAATTCAATGACAAATTCGACCTCTTATTTAAAAAAAAATATTTGAAAAAAATTTAACGCTTAATATTTTATTTTTTTAGAAAATATTTCGAAATTTTTAAACCACATTGAATAAAAAATAAATGTGAAAATGAATTTTTTGTAAATAACCGAATTCTTCAGGTTCAATAAATTCGTCATCGTCATCTTCAGATTCATCAGATTCTGGCTTCCCTCCAACAGTTTGTGTGTCTTCATAAGCAAAAGCGACAGCTGCTTTCTTTTCTCTTCTATAAAATTTGCTTCAAAAAACATAAAACAGATATCTGACAATAAAAATCAAATTAGCTAAAATAATCGCTGTGCAAAATTGATCAATGGGCATAAAAAACTTTAGATTTGACAACAACAACACAAAATAAAAATAGGGCAATAAATGAAACACATCAAACATCTTTCTCTTAATTTGCTATAAAATCGACTCACGACTGTTTCTTCTTTTCAGCTTCTACCCGCACAGATTGAGAAACGGGATCCACAGGCCAAAATTCTTTTTGCGCGATTTCTTGGAGGAAAATATGCTCCGGAACTATATTAAACTCATTGCAAAAAAATTAAATAAAAATTAAATTAAATTAAACTGAACAGAATTTCAAAAAAGAAAATGTTAAAGGAATTAGCATACCTTTTTCAAATTCATTTAGAATAAGGATTCGATATCTCTCATATTCACACTGTAATTCCTCAATATCTTCTGATGTTCTAAAATAAATTTTTATAAATGGAAATGTTGACAGAAAAAAATTAATGATTTCTTTATATTTCTATATATACATTGGGAAAAACAAAATCCATGCCATAAACATGCAAGTATTGCCAATCATCAAGTACGCAGCTGGCTTAGTAAGACGGACAAAAGAAGATATGGATGCTAATGTAAACACCAGAAAACTTCCCACAATGCACGAAATTTCCCACCCTCAAATCTAGCATCCAAAGAGTGTATACTAGCGGTGGGTAGAGCTTGGTGAATGTCACTTTTCTGAACGAAAGCCGAAGTATTCAGGAAAACGTCAACAAGATGGCACCAAAGGATAAGCCGCTGAAAAAATGCCCAAAGCATCTATAGACACTGGAGAAAGAAAAAGAAACAAACGTAGGAAAGCAAGGCCATCCATGGGAAGTACCATTATTTGATAACTGAAGTAGCTAATAATAAGAAAAAACTGGACAAAAAGGCAGCATTAGTCATCTTCTATGATGAAAGGGTTAGGTCACTTTGACGCGACGTCCGCATCTTCTAACGCGCATGGTATATGCGATAAATTATGATTCGGGCGTAATAATAATAATAATCTCAAGACGCGAACATAGAATATGCTCGCGAAGCGTGATAATTACTCAAAAACACGTCAAGGGAAACGAGAATCTATCGATAACACTTTGTAAGTGTGGCGAAGGGCTGGTTATAACTGCTTCGAACATCAGAACGCTTATGGATGTTGCAAGCCATGAAATCATTGTTCACACCCTTTCTAAATGACGCGTGGATGTCACTTGTTTGTCGGAGGTCCGTTTTCCTCATATCGGCTCTCAAGTAATTATTAAACCTGGCTCCAAGCAAAGATACTGGCAATATGTGATAATTCGGATAAATCGGAGCGAAATGGCGTAGCGATCGTCATGCCTGGAAAGGCTCGAAAGGAAATGCTCGAACTGAACAAAAGCCAGTAAATGACCGTACACGGTACGCGCTCTTCAAAGAAAAGTTCGGCAATATTTCGGTCATCAGTGTATATGCTCCAACTTTATACGCAGATTACCGTGATAAGAATAAGTTCTAGGCGGAGCTTCAATTATTAACAACATCTCTACCGAGAAGTGACATGGTCATAATCGGAGGAGACTGAAATGCGCACGTAGGTCATGATGCCGTTATGATGAATTCAATAATTGGCAAATATGGGAACGAGGTCCAATGAAAAACGTCTTCGTTTTGCAGAATAGCATGAAGTCTTTGTTTCATGCATGATAATAAATAATATATGCTTTCGGAAGAAACATCTAATCACGTGGAACTTTCCGGACAACCAATATTCCAACCAGGTTAATTATATTTTATTCGCCGTTGGAAGAATTCCGTACTAAATAGATAATATTTTTTACCATGGAGCGCAAACGGCAGCTTTCATGGATTTGATCTGGATCATGGACACCAAGATCCGCAGAACTGACAACTCGTGAGAAACAACTCGCCCGACGTTTTTCAACAGGTTTTTATCTCAAAATGAAAAATTCGGGGACAGTAAGTGCATTTCAAACCGAATTATTGAAGCACCTCAATGATTCAGATATCAAGCGACACTTCTGGAACCGTAGATGAATACTGGTCCCAACTAAAGGCATACTTTAAAAGGTTAGCCACTTCCACACTAGGGTATATTAGTAGGAAGTGGACTAATTGGGTGTTGAAAATAACTGTCCTGCTATCTAAAAAAGCCGAAAGCCGAATGTCAAGAGATCCTGACTATCGGATGCCTCGAAGAATTGCAACGACAGCAGCACGCAGGGATAGAAATGGCTGTTTGGAACCTTGAGAATAGAGACGGCTGCTCAAACAGGTGATAACAGGAAACTATTCCGTCGTCTTCATTAAGTATCGGTTTATACGATGAAAAGAAAGGCTAAACTTAACAACGATAAGCCATCTGTTGCCCCGGATATAATTGATTCCCTCGTCGAGCCATACGTTTTCAATTATGAACCGCTAACAGAAGAGGAAATAATCTCTATAATCCATAAGATTAAGGCCAATAAAACTCCCGAGAAGGTCTTCGGACCCAAACTCCAGACTTCAAATGTTGTCCATCATCGTTCATAACTCACCTTCAACAAATGTAGCTGCGAAACATGGCCAATGGAAGTAAAGATATTACGAAGTAATCAGCCTTTGACCACTCGTGTCTAAGATATATTTTATGGATCCTTCGCGCTGATAAAATCACATGAATGTTATCCATCTTAGCTCAAATACCACCTGTATTACTAATATTATAGAGCGTCGTCTTCGCTGGTTAGGGAACGTTCTCTGTCATCCACTACAGGAGTTGACAGATATTTCTTTGATTACTAAACCCTGCAACAGCGAGGAAGATAAATCAATGCCTGGACTGACACAGTCAGGAAAGAACGTATAGGAGGACCAGCGATATATGGCCTTAGATAGTGGAAAAAAAAATGGCTTCTATCACTATTAAAGATGCAATCAAATCATGCAGCTCCGAAACCTCTTACCCTTATAGCTAGAGGAGCTAGCCTAACCAGTAATGATGAGAGCTGTTAGAAGCATACATATATAAACAAATTAACAAATTAAGTAAACAATATTAAATTAAGTAAATTAAGTAAACAAATTAAAAATTGAAAAAAATATCCATCCCATGGACGACAAACCCCGTTTAAACTCCAGTATGTTTCTAGCGATTTCCTAACACTCGTTATTTTCCCTTACTAGCCCTCCGAATCCTTTTAGAATATTTTCTCATCTCACCAAATCCTTATAACTATCCCTTAATAAATCGAAGACTTTTTATCTCATCCAAAATCCTATTGAGAATTCACACAGAATGGGACATAATCATGATGAGTATGATAGTGCTTGGCTGTTAGCTATTAGCTGGCTAGAAAAAACACAGCGGAATTTGGCCGACATACTGGTGGACTATATAGGGCTCTGCTCTGCACTATTTTAAAGATGTCTTTCTGCAAAACATTCGAGTTTAAAAAAGCCTTATTATCAGTTTTTAGCAGAAATATGCTAGGATTCTGTTGGATGTTGAAGAAGATTCAGAAGAAAGTCGAGAAGATGGACAGCGGAGTAAAACAGGTTTTGACAACAGGTTTTATTAAGGGAATATTATGGTGTCTAATGAGTCTAAAGTGCTTAAACCTTAACGATAGAATATCATTACAGAGATTAGACGGGACGTGAAAGAAATAAAAGATTTCGAGGGAGAGAGTTAAAAAGGTAAGCTCCAGTGGTATAATGATTTTTAGAGAAATAATATTTTGGTCTCAAAGATATTTACTGGTCCTGTTGCAAAAGAATGGTGGCATTTAACGAAAATTAAAGAGGGTTTTCAAGATGCTTTAATAATATAAAATATAACAGATGAAGAGAAAAAAAATTGTACCGTTTATCTGGTTCAAATGATCCTTTTTCTGCTATGAAATCTAGATGAGAACGTGCATCAAAACGATCGATGAGAATGTTTGAATCACCTTGCCATTTTCGCCTATAAATCAAATAGTATTCTTAAATAAAATTTGTTTAAATAAATTAATTGAAAAGTAAAAAAAGTAATAGAGAAGTAGTAATTGTTGAAATGAAATGTCGTTCAACAACAAAATGACAATAATAAATTACCTAAATTCTTTAGTTTCACAAAAATTAATCATTTTTTTTAAAACCATAAATGGAAATTAAAAATAAAAAAATGAAAATTAACAGAATATTCGATGCTTCTGCTGCACGCCATATTGCCGGATCAACATGTATTTGACATTTTCTACCATGAATTTGCATGAATTGTTCTGGATCTCTTCGCTAGAATATACTTGTGCTTATATTTATATACTTATACTTATTTTATACTTATTATTTTATATTTTATATTTTTTATACTTACATATTTTATATTATTTATTATTTTATATTTTATATTTATATTTATATTTTATATTTTATATACTTGAAATACTTTATAATATATTTTCTTTGTGAAATTTCTTACTTTAAATAAATTTTCAAATATAAAAATATCCCATTAGACGTTAGATGAATCATTTAATTCTTTCATCAAACCTCTTTTCAATTCAAGCAAAACTTCAATTAAAGAATTCATAATTATAATTTTACAATACTAAGAAAATCGCTAAAATTAAAAGGTTTACTTTCGATATTATAAATGATTTTTTTGACAAATATATTTGAATAATCTTATTAATTGGGCTTAATTAGGCTAAGTTGAAAATTAATATAATCATAATAAATATAAAATTTTAAATTAGATGAAAACTTAAAAAAAAAAAAAACATACGACATTCTCATAAAATTGTTTCCTTCGTTCATTTCTTTTAACACTATCAATCATTTGTGAACGAATTAATTTTTCTTGTTTTCTTGCTTCATGCCACATTCTTTTTTTTTAATACTAAAAAATAAAAAATAAATATTTTTATAAAATATTTTTTGAATAGAGAAAAAAACGATAAATTATGAAGGATTCCGCAAAAAAGAAAATTTTAATTAATTCTTCCAATGAGATGAAAAATGAATAATTAACTAATTTCCTCAATAATTAATAGCGTTTCCAAATTAGGATTATTAAAACGCTTGCCAAAGCAGAAAAATTTTACTAGAGTTGCTTAGAAATAGCACAGAATGAGCCGCTAGTACCACAGGATAAGCTAGAAGTTAGTTTCTTTAACTTCTACCGAGAAAGTAGAAACCTAGCGCTTCAAAATGAAATGAAGCTCACTCAGCCATTCCATCCACAGGCAAATATAATTCCAGTGGAACTAATCTTCTCCTCCTTCCCCCAATACACAACTCCAAAATCTTATGCGGAAGACCACTTCATATTATCAACTTAACCTCCATTATTTTTCCATGCACCTACTACTCAATAAAAATTTTATCAGCTGCATTTTAGTCATCTAAAAATCAATCGAACTTCTCCTACCAAGTCCAAATTTACTCACAAAGGATTTCAAAATAATTTCGAATAAAAGAATGCAGCTTTTCGACCCAAAATTTATTTTTAAAGATTTTTAATGGGACTGGAAAAACAAAAAGACGAAAAACCTATTGGAACCGGTTGGATTCACCTATCACTAAGATTCAACTTTATGACGCGTCTACTCCTGTGAAGCGGTCCTAATCGTATAGAAACCGTTCGATCTCAATAAAAGCAGTATATCATTCGACGAATCAGTGATAAAATCGGTAAACCAGATTAAGAGTGATAAAAAAAAGTGGATATTTTATCACCTTTATACATTTATAATTAACAATTCTCGAGAAAAATATACAGAAACCTTATCAAAATATCATTAGAACTTAATTAAATGGGCCGATTATCGTTCATATTAGCAAGGCAGCGCTGTAATGTTCCAGTTGCACGAGTCAAAAGGGCTTCCTGTCGCAGGATTGCACGCTCTAAATCTTCAATATCCTAAAAAGAACTGAAAAAATTAAAATTATATTATCAAATATAATAATGTAACACATATTTAACACATATTTCTTTATTTACTAAACCCTGTGACGGATGGCGTCAAAAGGGAAGAAGACAAATCAATATCTGGAACTGACGCAGTCAGAAAAGATTTTGAACCAGCGATATATGAACTTAGACATGGAAAAAAGAATGATTTCTGTTTCTATCACAAAATGGCATTGGGTCGAGCAGCATGGAAATACTATCTTTGGCCAGCAAAGCCAGTTTAATTAGTAACGGTGAGAGCTGTTAAAGGAAGAAGAATATATTAACGAAATTCCCATTCGATTATTAGCTATTTTTTTTAAGTAAGTAATTTTTAAGTAATTTATTATTTATTTTAAGCACTTATATTAGTTTTTGCAAAAGGGATTTTTGCAATATTACATCAATAAAAGAAAAAAAAACATCAATTCAGTGCTATAAATTTTTTTAAAATGAATTTTGTCCACTTTTGTTTTTTGAAAAACATTCCGTACTGAGGAACTTCCCTTAATAGAAAAATTTCTCGCCCAAAAAATAGATAGGAATATAAAATGCAATGATTCTAAGAAACTATATCAACAATTTCGACAAAAACCAATCGAGAAAAAAGCAATTCCGCCGTAATTATTCAAACAAACCTCATGAGCAGCTTCCTCAAGATGGTTCAGTCGCCATGATAAAGATACCTTCGTAAATTCGCCACAAAGATCATCGCATGAATCCTTTAGCTATAAAATTGCTATAAATTTAGCTATAAATTTCTTATAATTCCATATTATAATAAAAAGTTACGTGGCGGTATATATAAAGTGGATCGAATTTAATCATATAAAATGTACTAACGATTCAAGTAAAAAAATAGAAAAATACTGAAATACTTCTTTCGTATATATTTATAAAGTTAGCACTAAAAAAATAACCTATTTTTGCATAAATATATTTAAATATATTTTATTGCTTACCTAAAAAATAACCAAGTGACACTAGAGAATAATTTAAAAACATATGACTAACCAGCGAAAATATTAAATTAACAATATGCAATACAACATAATTATAGTAATGTTAATAATATTAATGTTAACATATTTGTTAATAAATTCCTTTAAGTTAAAAATAATTTCTAAATAACGATTCTAACAACAGAAATTTCTCAAAACTATTCTGTAATTCTATTATACCAACAGTTTATAGGAATGATCAGTATTTTATATTTGAACAAGTAAATTATAGGTGAGCAAAAAAAATAACCTATTTTTGCATATATTTAAATATAGAACACAAGAACTTTTAAGGAAAATTTTTTCTTATGCACTCACCTGCCGGATACCACATTCAGCAGTTTCTTTGATATGTTCGAGGGTCGGATTTGTAAAACCTGTAGATGCGCTCATTTCCAATAATAATCTACTCCAAGCTTCATATAAATTTTCAACAGCTCGACCAAGATTAGTTGTTGGTAAAGGACCACTAGCTAACAATTCTTCAAGACACTGCTTATTCGGATGCTGAAAATAACTAAAAATAGAAAATCTTTGCATAAAAATCTAATATCGAATCTAATCTAATAAAAAAAATCTAATAAAAAAATAAGATACATTTTAAGAACAAATAGAATTTTTTGTTTTCAGATAATTTATCTTCAAAATAACCTCTAAAAAATCAAAGCCAAAGGCGAATGATGAAATATTAAAAAACATGCGTCAAATAGGAATTCAATAAAATTCAATTAGAAATATACGAAGATAAACTAACCACGCTTGAAGTTTGCGCTTGTATAGGCGAAGGTTCGTCTTCATTTGCAAGCACAAGTTGTTTAAGTTGTGAAATACCTTCCGGGTTCGGACTTTCCTCCATATTTTTAAGGTGTGTTGATAATCCTTGAGGAACGCCAGCCAACCTCGATGATCCTTTAAATAAATATTCATTTTCTGGCTGAAACGCTTCACTTTCTTAAGTCTGTAATACAAACGACATTCTATAATAATTATTATTATAAAAGTATTTTAATAATATTAGAAATTTCAACTTAACTCTGCAAGAAATCTCAGCGTATTTAATGAAAAAGCGAAAAAAATAACTAGCTTTTGCTCAATACTGGATTGTAGTTTTTTGCGATCATTTAGAAGCGCCGTTATTCGATGGAAGTAAACTTATCTTTCAAAAATCAGAATTATATTAGCGACTCACCGTTAATTCTTCTATCACCAAGTGACTGCCTGGTAAAATTTCGCAGATAAGCTTAGGCGCTGGCTGATTTAATCAAAAATGGTGAGAATTCTTAAAAACGAAAAAAATTTCGTCACGAATATCTCTTCGTTTATAGTTCCTCAGATCTGATCTAAGAAATAAATCTCGACTTAAAAGCCTACTAAGCTGTACGATTTTCTGCAGTGAGTCATTTACGCGCGTTTAGTCTTCCATTTCATCTCTTTTTTTTTTCTTCTTCCTATTCCTCCCCTTTTTCTGTTTCCTTTTTTTCTTTTTCCTTTTCTTCTCTTTCTTCTTCTTTATTTTTTAACATTTCTTATCACTGTTCATCTCATCTCTTTTTGCAATTATTATATCAATTCTTTAAGCAATCATCAAATATTTTTAAAAAAAATTTTTTTTTACAATAACCTTTGCTATTTATCAAAAAATTTTTAAAAACCTGGGTATGAAGAAATATTTTGTTGAAGTGAAGGAATATCATCACACGTCGTTATCAGCTCCGACAGCGTTGACATTCTTATCAAAAAAACAAAAACAAGAAAAAATTATATCTGCTCTCTTTACTTCCAAATAAAGGCGGCCCGGCCGCAAACGTGTGGCCCTGAAGAATTGAACTCATCGATTAAGGAGTTTTTGAAAGTCCACTGACAATATTTGAATTTTAAAGTTTTCTGACACGAAATTATGGACACTGTAATTCTTGTTACTATTTAGTTCATGATGGTTATTGGTACTATTTAGTTTACGATGATTATTGCTTGCATTCGCCTGCTAAATATTTTTATTAAGTTTATATATATATCTATGTATTTTCAGTGTTAAAATATTTTTGCCGTTGACCAATGGCATCGTTAAATTCGATCGATGAAGTTTTATACGAATGTTCATGTGGCGAATGGAAAAGTCTGAATCGTCTTTATTTTTGTCGTTATTGCTCTGAATTAAAATGCTCTTTTTGTACAATTCAAGAAATGGATTCACCATTTTGCCCATCGTGCTTGTATAATTATTGTGTTGGCGATGCACTTCAGCAAAGGAACCGTTGTTCAAATTGCTATCAATGTCCATTATGTGGTTTGTATTTATTTTAATTCTGTAAAAAATATAATTTTTTTTTGTGATTTTATTTTTCATAATTTTTCATATTATCAAATTGTAAAAGAAAAAAATTAATATTTTTAAATTTATTCACGTATATAGCTAAAATTCGATTTTTAATTAATGAAATCCAAACATCGATTGAGATTTTATTTTTAATTTTTTTTCCCCATAAATAGACCGGAATCCATGAGCTTATTATGATCAATCGATGCAACTAATTTTATAAATTTTGAGAAGATTTCTAGGTGTTGGTGTTGTTGTTCGAGCAGCAAATGATTGCTATCATTTGTCTTGTAATAATTGTCGTTGGACGACGTCAGATTCGGGTATCCCAGATATGAACTCGTCAACAGGTTGGCCTGAATATACTAATGATGATGAGGATTTACTTAATTCGATTGTTGAATCGATGCGTAATTTCGCCTCCATTGAAGGAGCTGATCATATTCGGCATAAATACATGAAACGGTAAATTTATTATACTAATGATTTTTTCTTTTTAACCTAAAACAACCAAATCGAAAGGATGAAAAACAAAAAATTTTTCATTAAAATTTGTTTTTTTTTAGCGATAGTATAGAATAAAATAGGAGAAATAAAATATTTTTATTATATTATTATCATACAAATTTCAAAAAATTGTAGACGTTCCAATCTTGGAGCATTGTCGAACCGATTCGGATTGCAAGCAATTTATAATCGCCACAAAAATGCTTTGGTTGAACAGAATAAATGTTTAATGTCGGCTGTGACTTCAACAGATTTGGTCCCAAAATTGGATCTTTCAATTTTTACTGAAGCGGAAATTGGTATAGAAATATATAGGACATTAATTCTAGAAAAGATCAGCTGGAGATTTTATAAATTTTCCGACTTTATCCTTCTATCCGTTTAGATCCTGGTTCAATACCAACGTTGATGCAGCGCACCAATCAACCATTTGCAAATGACCGATTACATCTTCCGAACAAAGTTCGATTAATTTGTCGTCGTTCAATGCGTTGCAAACAATGTGATCATAGTCTTTGTAAAGGAGAATATAATTCAAGCTCTGTGCAGTTCAAAATACAGGTTATAGAACCAATTTTATTTAGGAAATTCAATCAAGTGTACTGTCACTGTATAATTTAGAGAATTTTAATGATATAAATAAACTCTGGGGCACAAATGGCATCTTCAAAACGATTGATTCCACTTTTTCTTTTTTATCTATTTTTATCAGATTTTAATTGGTAATTTTTTGTCTATTAACTGTTTATTTTGACAGTTTATTTTGATTACAGGTATTGGCGGGCAATATTGTTCCCGATCTTCGTCTTTCACGACCTGCTACATTGGTTGCTGGCCATATCTGTCCAATCTTTTTGACCGTTTCGAACTTTTCGTCAAGTCCTACCAAAGTTGCCATAATGGGCGATATTGTCAATGACCCGTCATTTGTGAAGGTTCTTTATCTTCTCTTTGTAGTCTAAGAATTCCGACCAGAGAAAAAAGTAAATATTTGATTCTGAATCCATTAAACTTAGATTAGATATATTAATATTTAGTGCGAAACGCCTGTTGTGGAGTTTTCAATACCAAATTGTGATGAAGAAATGGATCTGGACGATATTTCGGAAAAACAGCCAAATGAAAATGAGTAATATTTTGAATTTTTAAAATTTTATCATATAGCTTTAATTTATTTTAAATTTGAAACCGATTTGCTAGGATTATTGAATTTCGTACCTAAAATTTTTAATTATTTTTATTCCATTATTTTATTTTGTGAATTAACCAAGCTGGGGAATAATTGGCTAGTATGCTAGTATTAGCAACAGTGAATGGAAAATAAAAAAGAATTAGAAATATAAAACATAAATTTTTTATGCAGAATTTATGTTTTATTTATGTTCATCGTTTTTGTTCATAACAAATTTTATTACTGACCAGTGCATGAAGTTTAATTTTCGTAACGAATGGTACCTTGCGTCAATCGAACATTGTTAAAACAAGTTTTACTGTATTTAGCATTGAGTGACATAATATTCAGGTCTAATTCTTATATTATCTTTTATTTGCAGAGCGATTATTTTCCGCAAACGTCATCGCTTTGGCATAAGATTAATGGTTTGCGCCACAGAAGGTCACAAAAAGTTTTTGGCTTTAATCATTAAGTACAGTAACAGTAGTACAACATTCGAAACTATGGCGGAGCAAAATTGGCTCCAACATCGTGTCAAAATCGCACTTGGTGATTCGCCATTTTTGAATCAGTGATTTTATCCTGTGTTATCAGATTTTGTCCTTCCCTAAGTAATTTTCCGGTGCTTTTAAAAATTTTATTATAATTTATTTTTAATAAATTACAATTACTTTAAACACTCAACACTTGTCTTAACAAAAAATTGCTCTTTATTCTCAGCACATAATTATAAATAATTTCATATAACTTAATTTTTTAAATATAGTTTTTTTTATAAAAATGTAGAAAATATATAATGAAAAATTAGATTTATACAAAATAATCACAAAATTTCGTATCATACACATTAGTTGCATTAATGGCGTATCGCAAGCGTTAAATTGCCGTTTTCAAACAATTTTCGACAATCTTCGTCAATGTTATATATATATATATATATATGAACAACAGTTAAAGTATTTGGCTTCATAATGTGAAGTAATATAGAGAAAGATTTAAACATCTATTTCACGACAGTGAATCGTTAGTTGGCTTCAAATAACAATAAAATTACCTAATTTCTATCCTTAACATTTGCTGATCGATTCGAAATACTACAAAAAATAGGTTCAATAAAATAGGAAATATGGAAATATAAGTGGAAAGCGATTGGGCAAATGAAGCTGCATTGCATCGATCTCCAAAACATGTGCATAACTGAACATCGCCAAATATTGGATGATGTGATTCGCGACTTGGATTGTAGAGTTGTGAACGTGGTAGACTTCGGCATTGATCAGTCTAAGATTTTAATAGAAGAGTGCAAAAGACGAATCAATCGCAAATCTTAAGAACAAATGAGTGGTACTTAATCATTTCGTAATTGAAGATAGATAAAAGAAAATAAGTCATTATCAAGAATATAAACGAGGATATCATAAGCAAGTAATAGATCTATTTATCAAAGAAAATTTGAGCGATTAGATTTTTATCTATTATCTAATCACTCTTAAAATCTTCTATTCTGAACTAAAATTCTATTTGCGCTAGTCTGTTTTATGAAATTCGCTTAGAAATAATTGTAGTCTCTTGGTAACTTTTGAGGTGCATCGGATGGGAGTAAATTTTTTATTACGAGTTAAATTCGGATGACTGCTACTATTTTCAAATGATTCTCTAATGAAAGAGACTGCAGCTTAGCAGTCGATAGAACCACGCAGAATCAAAAACGGTGTGTGTAGCAAGAAAAAGGCATATGATAAAACAAAGCATTCAATTGATATACCTGATGAAAACGATGTGTTCTTAAAGCAGTTTCATTAAAACCATTACGTAAAACTCGATCAAGGCAGCCTCGAATATATTTATAACCAATAAATACACCTGAATATTCAGAGATCATGGTCACAAAATGAACAAAAATAAATATTAATTCACCTAACTTATGATGGAGCAACAATTCTGGATAGATTTAATCACCTTTGCATAATATTTATCTTTATACAATTTTTTGTGAAAAAATTAGGATAATGTAAAGCAATCTTAAATCTCTCTTGACAATAATCTATGCGCAATATGTTATCACTTAGTTAATTAGATTTAAAAACGAATGGTACTTTTAAATAGATCTAATTGAAAATTGTAACTATTTAGCATGCACTGATAAAATTTATTCATCGAATGATATGTTAAAAATAGATTTGCAATTTTAGTCTCACAGAAATTTAATTGATATAATGCAATATCATAATAATTATTTATTATTAATCAGATAGAATTTCATAATCAGATAGAATTTTTAATGATAAATTACAAAATATCGATAAATAAATAGAGGAAAAATTTTTTGCGTAAAAAAATTTTATGCATATGTTTAAAATTCAAATTTAATTCAGGTAAGAAATTGAAAAATAAAGAAATTGGAATAAAATAATACAATATGATAAAAATAGAATTGTGATAAATTTTATTTATATTATGATAATAAAATTGTTTAGTCGAGAACGAGAAACAATAGGTACCTGCTTCAACATCTGGCTCAAGAAGACTAATGCATATTGAAGAGCAATGGGTTGTTGGAATATTTTTTGAAAGAAACGGATCGTTACATCGATTTGTGAATACCTTTAAAAATTTACTGCTATATCGATCATGAATCAATGTATCACTTATCACTTGTAGAGATAAAGTTAGAAGATAACGAATGAAGATAATTTTTAAAAATTCAGATAATAAATTCACTATATCAATTGAATAGTCTCTAAAATATCTAATTCATTTTATAATTTTAGACAATTATTTGTAATAATTTTAATTGTTTTAATAAAATTTTTATCAGTATTTTAAATTCTAAAATTGCATAGAAAAAATTATTTAAATTATTTATAAAATTATTTAATTGTTTAAAAAAATTATAAATATAAGAAAAAGCTATAAAGACATTGAATTGAATATATGTCAGCAACAGCAGTGGAACTGTCTTCACCAAGAATAAAATGAAGAGAAATCAGCCTACTTGAAGTTAGTATTTTTTTATCATTATTACAGTATTGCAGAAAACGAAACAATCCCTAAATGAGTTCAATTAAGATGCCATTCGAGTTCAATATTTTACAATGACGATAGAGTGAACGTTAATTAACGATATATTCCGAGATATTTTTATATCGTTGCTTTACAAATCATTGCATAAAATAAGAAAAGGCTTGTGTAATCCAAAAGTGATAAAGAACAACAATCATTTGACTGATAACTGCTCTATCAATTCGTTGCTAGGCTAGTATATTTCATTTAACTGTTTTTAAACTTTTCTCTAATTTGATTTGCATTTCAAAGTATTTCAAAGTCAATAAAAAATCATAGAAATAAGATTATCAGTTTCAAGAAAGTAGTTCTATAATCTAATGGAATGCAAGGAAGAAAGAAAGGTATCCCACTGTATTTTGCAATTGTAAACACTAATAGATTTTATTGTCTTCCAAATGAAGAAAACAATTTATACCTTAGGCGCAGTATAGATATTTTGTAAATATTCCCAGCTTTCTTGGTAACTCAACGACATACATGAAAAACAATCGAATCGGCGTGATGTTGTGCCTGAAAATAAAACATGAACAAAATCATGAAATTTAATGATGAAAAAATTTCAGTTATCAATGAATAAATAAAAATTTTGTCAATTTATTGATAAGTAATACGCTGTTAACATTTAAAAATAAAAAATTTCTTGCATGAAACTAAATTCTATCTGCTTGATTTTTAGCGAATCTGATTGCAGATAATAAAGCAAAAAAAATTTATGCCAATCAAAAGTCCACATTAAATTGAAAAAAAAATTCCAAAAACTAACCATAATTAAGTAAAAATAATATTTTTGAAGAAGGTTTATGTAATTTATCAAAATTTTTTTAACTTAAGTAAAAAATCTTAGCTAACGAATTCATTGATTGACAAATTTGATTTTTGCCTGACTTCAGCTAAAGTAAAATATTTGTTGATTTACGATGATGAATGAATATTTATCTAAGAAATTACAAATAATTTATATTTCATTTTCTTTTTTACAAATATTTTTACATTTTTTATTTTATAACATTATTTGAATGAATGGATAATAAATTAATTAATTCAATAATAATAATAATTATAATTATAATCAAAGAAAAATCTATAAATAGGAATTTTTTAATAAATCAAATCTCGAATTCCTATTTTAATATTCGTTTTAGAAGATGAAAAAAATTAAAAATTTACCCCTAATGAAGTCATATTTCATCGAATCAGTGATTATATTGCAAAATGTAGAAAGTAGAATCAGCAGTTCTGTAGGAAAACTGTACTTCATCGGGAATAAATAGTTAAATAGTTTTCATACCATATATCCGCTTAATAGCAACCTAGTCCTGGTTTCACCCTTTGACGATAGATTATGAGCATCAATTGTAATAAATGTGGTTGAAAAGGTGGGTTTGCAATTTTTCGCAACTGCAGAGAGCACTTTTCAGATATGTGATGAAAAATTGGCACTTAATTTCAGCAATATTATTAAGAATTATTATTCAAAATAATTAAATAAATAGTAGGCAATTATAAAAACGTTCAAAAAACAGACATTTTATATAACTTTTCTTTCAAAAAGGTAAAAAACGCTGTGAAAAATATCGAAAATCATAATAAATTCGTTAAAATCTATTTGAAATTTGACCAAAAATAGAAATAAAAAAGATCGCTACCCATATCCCTAATTTTCTCCAACAATTCCTCGAATTGGATGATAATGAGTAAAACCTACGACATAATGAGTTAATAATGAACAAGTACTGAGGAATATTTAGTAGAAAGAAGGAGCAATCATCTACCTAAGAGATAAAAGAATATCTGGAGTTTTTTTGCAGAGAGAAATTCTAGCAAAATTTGTCTGGTCCAGCTAATGGAACGAGCCTAGCTAGGAATGATGAGGGCTTTTAGAAAAATAAATGAATGTATAACTATTCAGATGCATTGAATGAACAATCGGAAGAAATGAGATCAATCATTTCAAAAATAATAATCGGTGTCAAAAAAAATGATGGCTTAGGAAGTATTGATAAAATGATGGGCTGACTATTTTCTTGTACTAAACAATTAATCAAATGTAATTTAAGCAAAAAAAAAAATCACTGGAACATGGGAAGAGATTAAAATTAAAGTTTGTCCGACCTGTTTAATAATTTCTTCTTGAACTTCTTCATTTGGCAGCACGCACCATTTCTGGCTTGTCTAGCTTACATGAATGTAGTTCTTGTGAGCATTTTGCCAAAGGCTTGTGAAAGTCAGCAACCACTAGGATTTCTGTAGTAAATACAGAGCCAGAGGAACCTAATCCTCGATTTGTTTCTTACTCTGATGTTCAATGAAACCGTTTATACTTGGTTATCTCAAACTTTATTGAAATCATTATGAAGAGAATTTTTTCTAAACTATAATATTAGTCCATCTAACGAATTCGGGCTGTTTTATGTCTTTTATTTTGTAAAACCATAGCTTAATCGAAAATATTTAAACATTTAAAATCGAGGTAGTTTTATCAATAAGAAACTTGTGCATTTGTTCTATTTATTCTACTTCTACAAAACAATCTGGATTCTCTCTCAATTCGTCGAATTATACACGATTCAATTTATACTTATAAGATTCTGTATGGTTATGTTAAATTAGAATGTTTAAAATATTATAATTTTAGGCTAAATTTGAATCCAACAGGAACTAATGGACTAAAATTACTAAAACCTATGCGCAAAACTAAACAAGGGATTCATGTCTTCTTTATTCGTACTATGAATTACTGGAATAAATTACCGAACGATATAGCTTATGCGTCATCCTTAGCAATTTTTAAAAAAAGATTAGATAATATCATTTATGATATTATCTAAAAAGTTCACATGTTACTTTGTAATTTCCTCTTAAGATTGTTAATTTTGATCATATTTTCCTTTTTTTTTGCCATTAATTATTATTTATTTTAACCGTTGTTATTAATACAAGCAAATGGCGTTTGTCGTCATGCTCGGCTGGTTTTCAATAAATGAACTAATCTGCATAAAAATCTGAGTTCCTGGAATCTATGAGCTGTTTGAAGGTGGTTTCGTAGACCTTCTATTTCTGAAAAAGTTGTCGAGAGATCAAAATTATTGCTAAAAGGTTTGGAGAGCGTTGTAGATGGAAAAGGATATGATATTTTATTCGACAAATTTTCGTAAAATAATTCTTGCGACTTGTGGTCTAGCGTAATAGAGCAGAAGTTATTTTGTTGGCCAGTTTCCTGATGGTCCATTTCTAATTCATTACAGCATAATCACTATACCAGGTTTTAAAAGATATAATGGAATCAGTCCTCCAATAAAATGGCCTTCTTCGAGTGAAAGTCGGGTTTTGATATATATCGAGGTGGTTTAACCTTTCCCACTGCTCCGATCTTTTGCTGTCACACAGAATCCATTTTTCATCACAAAAAATACTTTCCATTTTCATGTCGTATTAGGAACGAAAAAAAGGGCTTCAAACGTGTATGCTCAGTCAATTATTGCATGGAGGTGATTCCACACGGCACGAGTTGAAACTTCAAGATTTTGCGCTGGGATTACCTTCGGTCTAAAATCAACTTTCACTGTTTCCTTTAGGAAGTCATTTGCATGAATTAAAAGTCCGAGGCATTTTCGAGCTTATCCTTTCCACAGCGATCTTAACGAACCATTCATTGTTCTTTTTTAAAGAGCATCGAGCTATTTATTCCGCTCGATGCCCCATTTCAAACAATGAAATGCTCGAAAATCCATTGCATATGAAATTTTACCACCAAAATTATACCATAAAAATCCAAAAATTAGTTAAAATCACCGACTGCTTTTTTGACTGAGAAGACATAGCGAACAGAACGATAAACGATACTTTAGTTAAACAATATAGTACAACAAAAAAAATATGCGACGATAAACCCAAACACTAAAATGCTGCACGAATTTTTAAAATGTCCTAATAAAAATTCACTTCTCAATTCACCTCAAATTGTTTTACAATAAATCTTCTTCTTTAACGAATATTATTTTTGAAAAATGCAGAAAGGCAAAAAAACTTTAAAAAGATTTTTTTTTTTTAAAAAATAATATATAGGAATTCGAAGGTAATAACTGCAATTTGCAAAATATCAACCATACAAATGATGATTTTAATGAAATGAAAAAAAGCAAAAAGACAGAAAAGTGATATTTTTCTTAGCAAAAAATAAAACGAAAAATTCATTCAATGTTCTGAATATTAAATTAATTGCAAAGGATGCAGGAAAATCATAAATTGCAAATATATTAAATAAGCGCATTCTAAGGATAAATATAACTGGCGAGCGCAATAATTGCGAGATTCATACTTGCACAAACGAATGAATATTATAATGAAGGCACTTATGATCAAATGAAATTCTCGACTTCATTAAAAATTTTTAGCCTAAAATACTTTTTAAAATGTGATAATAAAAATAGGGAATTTTATTTTTAACTGTAGGAATGCCATTTTTTTTCACTTATTCATTCCATTTCATTTCAACATTACGAGGCAGCTATCAATCCAGGAACTCATTATTATTCCAGCATTGATCGCTACAGTTTGCTTCAATTTCTTTCATATAGTATGGTACCATTAATTATAATGATGATGACATAAATAATAATAAAAATAGCGGTAATTAATGAATCATTATTCTTTATAAAGTAATAAAATAATGAAAATTTCAATGATTATTAAACTGATTACAACAATAATATCTGATATTATTGATAATGATAACAGCAATAATGAATAAATAATAAATGATATTATGATAATTAAAGATAGTAGCGATAATTATAATTATAATGATTAGTAACAATGTTAACAATAATAACAATAGGAGTAACTATGGAAAATAACTATAGTAGCAATAAAAAATCAAAAACAAGTATGAAGCGCTATGAAAATAGTTGGTACCATTAATGACCGAGGCGAGTCGATCAGCTCATTCAAGCATGCCAATAACTTCTGCCATTTAATAATAATTGCTCTTACCAAAAATGTAAATATTTAAAAAATATTGCCCGCATTTAAAATAGAGTGCATACTTCCCGTAAGGAAAGCTTTATATCGTATATAAATCTTTTTTTACTGTATTGCTGAATATTAGTTTTGTATTTGTACTATTTTCTTTATTTATCTTCGATTTCTAACTTGTAATGACGAAAAAATATTTATACGATTGAATATTGTAAATTACTTGTATAAATCATCGCCTATCGCGATACTTAATCGGATAGCAATTAATTAAAATCGTTTATTTATATATAATTTTATATACCTAAAAGCATATTCGTACTTGGTTATGGTTTAAATTTAAACGGAAAATTTATATGATAAATTTGAATGTAAACACTATGACGGTTTCTTAATGGATGAATATAAATTTATGTGTGAACAATTTTAATACATAATTGACGACTCTCACAATCGAGCTATGATAGATAAAATTTTGATAAATGCATTAGTTTAGCTTAACAGTGTTGGTCGATATTTTCACTTTATGATATATTATAATGGGAATAATGCAACAAAAATTTTCTTTGATTGTAATTAAAATTATCCAAAAATAGTTGAGATGATTTAAGCACGATTAAACAGAATTAAATAGATATATATATATATATATATATATGGAATGCAGCGAGTGAAAGAATGAATAATTGATTAGATTTGTTCCTCGATTTTATTTCTAAAAAATTTTCCAATCATTCTAATCAGTTGAACTAAATCATATCATAATTCATTATGAATAAATTAATTGTCAACTGAATTGTTAATTCACAAATTATTTCTTAAAAATATCAAATTTTAAATTTTTTTTTTCGACTAATTTTTAGTTGATCGCATATGAAAAATGATAAGAATTTGATGAGTTTTAATTGTGCAAAAAAATAAAATTAAAAAATGAACAATTGAAATTAACCGAGAATAAAAAAGGAGACGAATTTCATATGCGATACTTGGAAAATTTCTTCATAGGATTAGTTGGTTTCGCAATTTATGAAATGAATGAATTCAAAGAAAGAAAGACTAGAAACATGCTGAGATATTGGTGCACCGGAAACGAAACAACAGCACCATTATGCATAATAGATTTTTTTTATTCAAAGCAATTACCTTCACCAGATTTTTCGTTAATCTCATCGTTCTTTAGACAGTTTAAAATGATAATTTAATTTTAATCGAAATTAGCCTATCTAATATTATTAAATTGAATAGCTATTATAACATAAAAAATAATTAACGTTTTCTTTAGATGCGAACTGAAAATCAAAATACTCGAGTTGTTTTCATTTTTTTTTTCTTTTTTAAATTTAACCTGAAATTCATTCACTTCTTTTGCATATTAAATGTGTCATAAGGTTTTATGGAAGACTAAATTTTGCACAAAGCTGTTACAGATAATAATGGGATACAATTATTTCACATGAATAAGCCCTATTATCTTAC